AGTCACGCGTCCTGATTTATCCTTTGCGGTTAATCAGCTATGTCAACACATGCATGCCCCCACTGTATCACACTGGGAACAGCTCAAGCGTGTGCTAAGGAATGTCAAGTGCACTCTTGGCCTCGGGTTGCGCATTCGACAGTGCAATCCAAAGAAATTCATGCCTTTTCTGATTCTGATTGGGCTGGTTGTCCAAAAGATCGTAAGTCCACGAGTGAGTATGCAGTCTTTTTAGGCACTAATCTCATATCTTGACTTTGTAAGAAACAGAGAACCGTTGCTAGATCTTCCACTGAAGTTGAATACAAAGCTCTGGCTTATGTTTGTGCTGAGATTTTGTGGATCATGTTGCTATTACGAGAGATACAGGTGCCGAAAATTTCAACTCCAAAGCTATTATTATTATTATTATTATTATTATTATTATTATTATATATATATATATATATATATATATATATATATATATATATATATATATATATATATATATATATATATATATACACCTTAGGTCATTTTACATGTTAATCTAAACAGCTAATTTTTTCAAATATCTTTTTACCAACCGTTGATATGATTCGCTGGTCAAATTCGCTAATATAATTCGCTAACGCTAACCACTAACTGCTGATTGTCAAACAAGGACATTGCGAGGTAGTTCTTACTTCAATTTGTTGTGTGATTTGAATACTCTCTTTGTCTACAAATCCCTCAAGTAGTTAATATGATTGACTTTATTAATTATATTTTTTTTACTTTTTTATGGTATTAATAAAATACTTGTTAAATAAATATATAGCATTATTTTGTATTATAACTTTGATATTTAATTAAAAAATAGTGCACAAAAAAGATAATAGACAATGTAGTGAATATAATCAATTGATGAATTTGAATGTAAAGAATTTTTACATTGGAGAAATATAAAGACAATATAACTAATAAAATTATTTCTCTTAATTAATTTATTGATAATGAATAATTTTTTTTTTTAATAAAGACATTGTAGGGACAATGTAGCGAATATAATCAATTGATGAATCTGAATGTAAAGAATTTTTATATTGGAGAAAAATAAATACAATATAACTAATGAAATTATTTCTCTTATTTAATTTATTGATAATGAATAATATTTTTTGAATAAAGACATTGTAGACACATAATTCTAAAATAAAGAGATACATATGCATTATTTTTTGTTAAAGCTACTAAAATATTATTTAATTTAATAAGAGTAAAATAGAGTACTAATTATGCCAATTTTGATTGGGATGAGTTTCGAACCTAAGACCTTTCTTATTGAAATCAATGAGTAAGTTAAAGATGAACTAACAGAAAGTAACGAAAAAGATAATATTTAACGGAAAAGTTAACGGATAATCATATTCATTAAGGGTAAATTAGGAAGTCTTAAGGAAAAATTAAAATCTGATCAATCTATCTGAGCCATTCATTTGATTAAAAAATTTGACCACCATTTTTTTTACTCATTATAGGACTAACTCTCTTGGGCTCTTATTTATGTACTAGTTTTTTTTTACGCGCTTTGCGCGAATGGGATAATGGCCAATGATTATTTTTAAATAAGTATTTCAAAGTATATCAATGCAATATTATATAGGAGATGTTTATGCATAGGCAAATAAATGTTGAATTTGTTTATTTAAATTGGTAATTTAAAGTATATAAATTCAAGATAATATGTGAGAGATCGATTATAATTGTCACTAAAATAAATTTTTGCAACTTTGTAATAACGCTAGTCTAAATACTTAGTCTTAAAGCGATAGTCTAACTAAATACTATTTTTTGTTTAAATTTTTCTAATTCTTCTTAATTCTCTTTTGGGCAGCATTGTCATTGTTTTCATCAACAGTACATGTCCTCTTTTTTTCTTTTTTTCTTTTTTTTTTATTGGTAGTGTGTCATGTGCAATTAGGTTACTGGTGGCAGCATAGAGGGATTCATCATGCAATGAGATCATGGTGTAGGAAGTTTTATATTTGCCTTGTTGTGTATATGACTGATATTTTAGTTGTAATATGAACTCTTTATCTTACAAACACCTATTGATATTTAATTTAGTAGTGGTAGTTTTTTCCCTACATGTTTCATGTATTCTGAGATGTGTGTCGTAGGTTATCATGTGAAAGTATTGAAAAAAATATTAATATTTATTATATTTGTATAAAATACTTGGTAAAAATAAATAAATATAGCATGTTTTGTATTATAACTTTTATATTTAATTAGAAGATAATGTAAAAAAAGAAGACAATGGACAATGTAGTGAATTTAATAAATTAATAAATTTGAAGGTAATGAATCTTTGAATCGTAGAAAGTAATGATAATATAACTAATGAAATTATATTTCTTTTAAATTTTTTTTATAATGAATAATTTTTTTTAAATAAAGCATTATAGACATCTAATTCTAAATTAATTAAATGCATATGTATTATTTTTTATTGTAGCTACTAATTTATTTAATTTAATAAGAGTAATAAAGTGTCGTACATACTTTTCATCAACAATAATGAAATCAATGATTTTTTAAAATTTTCTTTCCTTGTTGAGACAAATTGTTTTGAGAGTTTGTCAATGACAATTGCTACAATTGCTGTCAATAGAGGATGATAAATAAATAATTCAAAATATATAGTTACAATAGATATTGTTATAATGATATAATAAAAATTACTACGTAACTTACAAATTTCTTTAGAAGTTTGCATGCATTGATAAAATTCGGATATGTAATTGTGTAAACTTGTTCAATTGGAGCTAGTAGGATATTAACATTGTCAATTATTTGGAAAATTGTCATACCGTTTTAGAGTCCATGTGTAATTGTCAATGTTGAAAAAATCGCTAGGCGTCCTCTAGGCGCTTGGGGCCCGCTTAGGCGCTCTAGGCGTCCTAGGCGCTAGGCGCCCGGCCTCCTAGGCGGCCTAGGTGCCCGCCTAGGCGTTCTAGGCGCCCGCCTAGGCGCTCTAGGCGCCCTAGGCGGGCCTCAAGCGCCTAGCGATTTTTTAAGATGATGTAAAAACAATTTAAGATGATGTAAGAACAATTTTGACATGATGTAAGAACAGTTTTTAAGATGATGTAAGAACAAAATTGTTCTTACATCATTGTCAGACCTGCGCGATGTAAGAACAATTTTGTCCGATAAAAAAAATACTCCCTCTGTCCCATTTTATGTGTCTTACTTTTCTTTTTAGTCTGTCCCAAAATGTTGTCCACTTTCTAAAATTGAACATCACCATCATTCTACTTTTTTCAAATTACCCTTCTAGCTTTTGCTTTCTTTATTGTTTTTATTTTCAAAAGTGAAAAAGTGAGGGGCATAATTGGAAAGTGCATAATATTTACTTTAATTCATTAAAAAGCGTGCAAAAAGTAAATGAGACATCCAATTCGGGACGGAGGGAGTAATAGTATTATATTTGTAAAGTAATGTACAATTGTACCATTATAAAAAAATATAAAAAAAATATTAATACCGTAATGACCTAAATCATTATAATAATGCAAAAACATAATTGAAATATTAAGTTTTGTTCTAAATAATCAAAAGAAGATTAATTAAATGTTAAAAAAAAAAAATTGAACCTAAATTTGTTTTTTTTTTTTAAAAAAAAATTAAGAAAATCAAATGATTTTTAAAGTTCCTGATTTATAATCTTTGATGCTCAATTTTAAATGCTATGTATTTAGTCGGGCTAATTTTTGAATGCTACTAGCTCTATTACATTGTAGTATCTGTTCATATACTTTCTCAACCTACTGAAACACAAAGAGCTAATAACGCCTCCACTAAGGCTCGAACTCACAACCTTCCAAATGGAAGTCCAACCTGGATACCATTGGACCACATAGTCCTGGTTAGTCGGGCTAATTATTTGACCAAAGTTTATGTTAAATTTTATATTATATATATTTTTAATACATTTTAACATAATCATAATATATGTTTTAACAATTATGCCAACTCTAATTGGAATGCGGTTCGAACCTAAGACCTTTCTTATATAAATTAATGAGTATGTTATGAATAATAAATAGTTAACAGAATATTCTGTTAAGGGAAGAAAATAATATAATAGAGGGTATATAAGGAAAATCATTAAAAAAAAATACTAAACTCAAAATAATATTAACCATTCATTTTAAGAAACAACTACTACCGACATTTTTTTGTTCTAGTTAAGGGCCTAGCATTATTGGCTCTTATTAGATTTGTAGATAGATGTAGATATTATGTTAAAAGTTTATGTATATTATGTTAAGAGTTTATGCGTATTATGTTAAAAATTCATGTGTATTATGTTAAAAATTTATGCGTATTATGTTAAAAGTTCATGTGTATATTATGCCGGTCGATCCCGATACTCAGAAGTCAGAAGACCCTATGCTACTGCTTCATTGAGTACAACACTCCTCAGGTACCTATTTTTATAAGTATTATTATTTTTGGTTGGTCATAAATTTTACACACATATTTTATATATACAAAGTGAGAGCTTTTGGATAAAATGTATAAGAAAAATAGAACCTTCATATTTATATACAAAGTTGATGTGTATACAAAGCGTTACTGGGGATGAAAAAACATTTATGTTGGCAAGCAAAAGAGTTGCACAACTTTTGAAAACTAAATATGCTTCTAAGATATCACTGTAATGTTATACCACAAATGATATATAAGAGATAGGATGAAATGAGAGGGCTTGAATTCCAATATTATACTAAATTCTATAGTACTTATATATAATAATATATAAAAGCCTTTTTATTATAAACATTTTCTATGCACTGAGAAGAAAGCAAGATAGTGTTTTACTTATTATCATTATGTTTTGCTGATGGTCTTTGGGATACTGTTTGTTCTTTTTCTTTACTTGATTGATTGAGTCTGTTAATACTAATCCAATATTTTGCAAGTTTTGGCTGACTCTCTGGAGGCAATGCAGTATGTAATCAGCTATTAGAATGACTATTATTCATGATATACTCAAAAGTTTATAATTCAATTTTGGTATTAATTTGTTGCAATCTTTCATATTTTTGTAGGAAAGATGTCAAGAGCACGTGAAGGTCATTTTGGAGCTAGACTTTTGACAATACATGCACCATCATCCGACAATGTTACTTCAGCAAATGTGTACAAGATAAAATTCAGAGTTTGAAGGCTACTATTCCCCTTATACAACAACGACTTGATGTTATTGATGGCAGGAGAGCGGGTACTTAATCATCGCCTCCATTTCAAATCAATTGATTTTAATGGTTGTTTGTTAGGACTATTACAATGTTGTTTAGCCTTGAATTGACTATTATTATGTATTAAATGTTGATTGATAATGTATTATTATGTTGTTTAGACATGAATTGATGGTTATTATGTATTAAATGTGGATTGGTAATGTATTATTACTTGAACTTAATGTAGAATTATATTATATTTTGTTTTAGAATTAATAGTATTTTTTATATTAATATTTTAAAAACATTAATCACTATTTAAAAATTCTAATTTTATTTTGAAATAATTCAAAAAACACGACGGAATTGCGACATAACATAAGATTTGCGACGGAATATTTGTTGCAAACAATGACACGGAATCATGACGGAAAATGTTTCTGTCGTGTTTTTTGCTACAGAATTGGCGAAGGAATAGATAATATGGCGACGGAATATTAGGTTCAAAAATTGCGACGAAATTGCGACGGAAACAGTTCCGCCGCAAATTTTACGACTAAATTGCGACGGAATATTTCGGTCACAAAATAGCGACGGAACTATTCCGTTGCGAAGTCCGTCGCCAAAAGTTGCGACGGAATTATTCCGTTGTCTATAAAAATACGACAAGGTGATAGACGACGGAATAAATTCCGTCGCAAAACGCGATTCGCGACGTAATATTGCCCATTCGCGATGGAAAAATTCTATCGCGATTCGTGATTTTTCTTGTAGTGTATTATGTTAAAAGTTTATGTGTATTATGTATTATGTTAGATTATGTGTATTATGTTAGGAGTTTATGTGTATTTTACTATACAATTATGTACATACGAAACATGATATTTTTAGGGCGCACAATGCATTATGCATTGTGCGCCTTGGTGCACAATATAACAATTGACAAAGTGCAATTGGGTCATTCAATTCAAAAAATTGTAAATAGAGCATCTCCAACAGTTGTGATTTTTGAGGAGTGTTTGCAGGTTTGATTAGGAAAGAGAATATGAGAGGGGAGAGAAAAAAAAGAAAAAAAAAGTGCAAGTCTGCGAACAAAAAAAAAAAAAAAAAAAAAAGCGATTTTACCCGCCCACTAGGCCCGCAAGTTGCACAAAACGCGTATTGGGAAACAACAAGCAGAACAGCCAAGAAAAAAGGAGAAAGAAGAAGAAGATCTGAAAGGGAAAGCTGTTGTGTTTTTATTGAAGAGGCAAAAATCACTGTTACATTGAAAACCTATTCTATTTATACATTGACTAAAGAAGCATAAGAGTAGACTTAGGTGGGAAACCGATTCTGTTACAAAGGGATGATGTAAGCCAACTGCTTCTATGCTTCTCTAGAATCTTATCTTGAATTTGCATGTGTTGACACCCCCTCCCCCCCCCCCCCCCCTGCGCGCGCGCAAGCTGGACTATACATATTATGGAGGCCTAGCTTGGATATTAAACTGCAGAAATTGATAAGAGTATGAGGCTTGGTGAAGACATCAACCAATTGATTTGTGGTAGTGACATTTAGTAACTTCAAGACTCCATTGTGTAGTTTTTCCCTTACTAAGTGACAATCAATTTCAATGTGCTTTGTCCTTTCATGAAACACAGGATTCTCTGCTATAGCTATAGCTGATTTGTTGTCACAGTACAGGATAACTGGAGGATTGCAGCTTATGCCTAAGTCTTGCAGCAAGTAAACCAGCCATTGAATTTCACAAGCTGATGTGGCTAAGGCCATGTACTCTGCTTCTGAAGAGCTTCTGGAAATGGTGACTTGCTTCTTATATTTCCAAGACACCAAATTGGTATCCAAGAACATGCAGAATCCTATGACTGTTCTCCTTGTATCTGGGCATGCAGCCCAGTCAGAATCATTAAAACCCTTGATTTGTAATGAAGCTGCAGTAGAGAAGAAAATACCTTGGCCTTGAGCTGCTTTAATATATCTCAAAACCCTGTGAGCTGCTTGCATATGTATGTCAGTAGGACAATCTAGAAATTGAGACAACTGCTGAGTAGCATCGCTGACATCAGGTCTTGTAATAGTGAGGTAGAGAAGTTTCCCCACAAGTCTTCTGTATTGAGTAACATCTTCAAGCTTGTTGCCAATGGTTTTGCTGATCTTAATTGATGTAACTATTGGAGTTTTAGTTGGCTTGCATTGTAAAACATCTGTTTCTTCAAGAAATTCTAGGCTGTATTTTCTTTGTGTCATAGAAATACCTTTGCTATTTCTTGTAATTTCTAATCCTAGAAAGAATTTTAAGGTTCCAAAATCTTTGATGTGGACACCTTGTCCAAATGCTCCTTTATTTGTTGAACCTGGTGATGGATTTAATTACCCCGGGTAGGCCCAAATCACTAAATCCAATAAATGATAAATAGGAAAATGCAAAGAATGTATATGTCGCAGGGACAACTTTCGTATTGATAGTCTTTTATAGGAAAATTACAAGGAGAGTGTAGTAACAAGACAAGCTGTAGATGTCCTTAGCAAGGCAAGGATATGCCCTTTTATACTAAATAATCCTCCCAACCGACCCCAAGAAAATAGGGCGGGCAGTTGGATCTTGGTTGACCGAGTCACGCGGTGAGACCCCGTGGTAGTCCTCGCCCTGGGGTCCCCCGTGGTAGTCCTCGCCCGAGGTCCACGCCGGAGACCCCGTTGGGGTCTCCAGGGACCCTCGTGTCACGCCGCGACCACCGGGTCGGTTTGCCCCGAATCCATTCTCCTAATATATCCATCATGGACCTTCGTCAATGCTGTGGTCGTCCCCCAACTGGGGTCCTCGTAGTAGACCTCAGTCGAGGTCTTCGCCGGCGGGGTCCCCCAGGCCCTTCGCACCACGTCGCGACTTCCGGGTCGGTTTGCCTCGAGTCTCTTCTCCTAATATATCCATCACCTGGCTTAGATTAGGACTTGCAAGAAGCACATCATCCACATAGACCAGTAAGGCTATGAAATCATTAGCTATACCTCTGGTAAACAAGGAGGAATCAAAAACAGCTTGTTTGAAGCCCGTGTTACACAACTCTTGAGTTAACTTGACATTCCATTGCCTACTAGCTTGTTTTAGGCCATAAAGGGACTTTACCAATCTGCATACTTGACCAGGCTTGAGAGGAGTGAAACCAGGTGGTGGTTTCATGTATACATCCTCATGTAGATCTCCATGTAGGAAGGCATTATTCACATCTAGCTGGTGAAGAGCCCAACCTTTGATATCAGCCACAACTAATAACATTCTTACAGTGGTTATTTTGACAACAGGACTGAATGTGTCTAAGTAATCCAACCCTGGTGTTTGAGTATATCTTTTTGCAACAAGCCCGACCTTGTACCTTTCAATGCTTCCATCAGCCCTGAACTTGGTTTTGTATACCCATCTGCATCCGAATGAGAGTCCCTCATTACAACTTGTAACAGCTCAACTGGAAGGAAGGATGAACTATCATGCCTGGGCAAGGGCCATGGAGATGGCCCTGAGATCGATCTTTAGGTTCATAAGGAATGGCATTAGGTACTGATTCGTATTGGTTTGTGCAGTACCAGCATTTTGGGGTAATGGAATAGTTGGAATTGATGGTTGAACCATGTTTGCTGCAGGTGTATGCCAGGCCATAGCTTCAAAGCTCTGATACCATATTAGGAAACAACAAGCAGAACAGCCAAGAAAAAAAGGAGAAAGAATAAGAAGATCTGAAAGGGAAAGCTGTTGTGTTTTTATTGAAGAGGCAAAAATCACTGTTACATTGAAAACCTATTCTATTTATACATTGACTAAAGAAGCATAAGAGTAGACTTACGTGAAACCGATTATGTTATAAAGGGATGATGTAAGCCAACTGCTTCTATGCTTCTCTAGAATCTGATCTTGAATTTGCATGTGTTGATGACGCGCCTCTTCTTCTCTATGCGAGCCCCCACATTTTCGAACCAAAAATCACTCCTACTGCAATAACTTCATTTCTTCTCTCTCCTCCACATGATTATTGTTTTCTCAAAAAACTCCCCAAAAACCTCGGTTGGGATGCTCTTAGGTCACTGAATTGTTCAAAATTATACAACTCAATCAAATTTGACATGTCCCTCAGGTCCATATTGGGTTGAATTATACTACATTTTTTCCTAAATTAATGTGACAATTAGAATTGAAATATTTGTTTGCATTTATTTTGGTGTAACCTTTTGGGGTGCTTTTGTATTTATGCAATAATTATAAAATGTCATATGAGCCTTTCACCATTGATATGATATTTCATATATATAGCAATAATTAGCAAGTGTGGGTACTAAGTTATTGTCCACCTCCAACACCTTTGTGCTCAAATCTCAATCAATTCCTTGTGAGCCCAAAATCTCCACTATTACTATTATTTGATTTTGGAGGGGTCTATTTTGGACAAGTACAAGACGTGTATATACTTTTCAAGAATATGTTTCTTGTACACCTTTCGTACACGCGTTCAAGTAATCATATCTTTTTATTTGATTTTTTTTTTTTTTTTAAAAAGCATTTTTAGTGTATATATTTTTATCAATTATTAATGCAAGTATTTTTAACCCTCCATTTTTTTTTTATTAATGTAAGTATTTTTCACCCTCTATTTTTTTTTTTCTTTTGTGTGGCGGTAATTTTGGTCCCTCGTTTTACCGCAGAAAATCCCAATTCAAAAAAAAAAAAAAAAAAAAAAAAAAAAAAAAAAAAAAAAAAAAAGACAATAGAAGGGACTCATGTTTGCACATCAAATGTTAACATTATTGATGATCCTCCAATTCTTCACGAGGCAATGATTTTGATCCCTCCATTCATAGTCACAAATCAATTTTTCACAAAGTAATGCGGAATCAATAACTCAGCAGATATGACCAAATGTCGGTGTGCACAAGTGATCTCCCCACACTGTCGTTGTCGAGGTTCAAATCTTGCTCTCTTTTTTCAAATACTACCTACTAAACCAATGAGTTAAGCCCGTGCGGATACTAAAATCTCAATTCTAAAAAACAACAATAATAGGCATCCCCATTTGCACATCATCATTCTAATTATTAGTGAGTTAATTCAAACACTAACATTATTAACCTTCAAGTAGTAATTTTGACCACTCATTTCACGGCATAAAAGCATAAAATCTCACTTAAAAAAAAAAAAAAAAAAAAAAAAAAAAAAAAAAAAAAAAAAAAAGGAAAAGAAAAACAATAGAAGGAATTTGCACATACTTCATCCATACTATCAGAGAGCTGTCGCAAAAAAAAAAAATTGGAACTGGACGTTAAGACATGTTCATCGGGATGAATGTTGTCATATATTCAGATAGGTGAAAAGATAATAGTTACACATACAGACAGTAGTATTAAACCTATATACTGATTGCAGTATATTTCTATAAGCACTAGTTACTAATTTATTCTTGATTTCTATAAGCACTAGTTACTAATTTATTCTTCTGAAGCTAATCATAAAGAAAAGAGTTAATTATTAAAATGGTCCATTGACTATAGCGAAATTATCAATTTGGTCCTCGACTATTTTTTTTGACCAATTAAGTCTCTCAACTTTAAAAATCTTAACCAATTTGGTCCTCCGTTAGTTTTGCCGTTAGACTTCCGTTAACTTGGGACCAAATTGATAATTTAGCTATAGTCAAGGGACCATTTCAGTAATTAACTTTAGGGGTGGCAATTCGGTTCGATTTTTCCTAACCGAACCATACCGAACCGAATCAAACAACCGAATGGTAATGGATTCTTGTATACCGAATGGTTTGGTCAAAAACTAAACCGAACTGAATTATTCGGTAAAAAACCGAATCGAACCGAATACCATTTGAATTGTTTAAATATAATAATAATAATAATAATAATAATAAAAGTAAATCTAAGTCTCTTGGTGTCTGCTCTGTCTTTTAGCTCATATTCTCACCAGTACCTTTGATAAATGTTTTCTAACAAAATAGTAAACATCATTTGGCTTTGTTATATATTAAACTTTGGATTTATACGAGAGATACCAGTGAGAATATGAGGTGAACGGTAAATGAGGCATCAAGGGACTTGGATTTACTTCTTTATTATCATCATTATTATTATTATTATTATTATTATTATTATTATTATTATTATTATTATTATTATAAATAAAATCAAACGGTATTTCCTTTCGATTTTTAACCGAATCGTTCGGTACAGTTAATTACTTCAATGTTCGGTACGGTTCAGTTCGGGTAAATCGAACTGAATTGCCCACAGCTAAAGTTAATTACTGAAAGTGTCCCTTGACTATAGCAAAATTACCAATTTGGTCCCAAGTTAACGGAAGTCTAACGGCAAAACTAACGGAAGATCAAATTGGTTAAAATTTTTAAAGTTGAGTGACTTAATTGGTCAAAAAAATAGTTGAGGACCAAATTGGTATTTTTGCTATAGTTAAGGGACCATTTGATAATTAACTCTAAAAAAATCATAGATGGTTGATTAATCATAAAACTAATTTAAAGACCAAAGTAGCAGGTTTGTGAAAACAACAAAGAGAGAGAGTGTGAGATTCCTGGGATTCAAGTGTTTAATCACCTAGTGCCAATCTAAAGTGCAATATTACATCTGGGTTTAAACAAGCGTGAGAATGCAAACAAGGGAAAGAGTTACTCCTGTAATCTCCAACCTAAAACAATACAAATGAATATTCATTCTCGTGATATAAACACCCAACAATGTAAGAACAAGCATTCAATATAAATTCTTAACTAATACCATCCCCCGATGTGCAATAATAGAGAATTAACTCCTTAACAAATATGCCATCTCCCAATGTGCAACAGTTAAGTGCAATTGTGTGCGCTCTTAATTATACCCTAACTCCCGCTAAGACATAAAGATAGCTATGAAACGAGTAACTATGACCATTAATTACAAGCATCAACAAAATAGACACAACTGCAACACAAATTATAAAACCCAAATATAAATATTATTAAAGAACCTGAGAACTAGGCACATAGGTTCATAAACACTTTACCTAAGAATATCTAAGAAAACTTAGCCACCCATGGCTAAACTAGAATGCATTGCAATAATATAAAGAGTTCGCAAGCATGGCTAAACTAGAATGCATTGCAATAATATAAAGAGTTCGCAAGCAATAAAGAGAGTAAAAGTATAGACCAAGAGATTTTTCCAAATCTTCCTAGCTTTTCTTCTTTCTTCCCAAGGCAACTTGTAGCTCTTGATCTCCGTCTTTCTTGTCTCCAAAATGCAACTTAGACCTCTAGGGTTGAGGGAAGATGGGCCTTTTATAGGGGGAGCCAAGTAGGGATGAATTAGGAAGTTTCCGCGCCACTTTCCAAATTCATATCAGGATTTTCGACGCGTCGAGTTTGTCTTTTTTTTCCTCGCGAAACATACTGGAATTTTTTGACTAGTCGAATCCATTTTCGACGCGTCGAGGAATTTGGAAAATAGGTCGAGTCTTCATAAGAGTTGTAGCCATTCGAGTGTTCTTTCTAATGGCGCAAGAATCACTTGGATCGGACATTCCTAGGTTGAGATATGGTCCAAACACCGAACTGTCGCCAATATGTGCGAGAATTTTTACTTCTTGCCCTTTTGCTCCACTTTTGCCTTGCATGGTTTGCCCAAGTGATCAAGACCAGACTTTGTTTTGACTCCAAACTTTTCTTAGAACTTCCTTTGCTTTTGCAATTGATCTGCAGTGGTTTCACAACACTAACAAAATCATAAAAACTCTCAAGCATTAAATCATATATTCATTAGAAAGCAAGGAAATAGGTATTAAAAGTAACAATTTAATGAACTTATGCCGACAAATAAATTCAAATAACCAGAGAAACATGTACAATTAACCTCACATCATATACAATCTAGTATATCACAGAAGTAAAGACCTATACAAACTACGTACAAGTACAAAGAGTCCTAATAATCGGGAAGCTAAATTATAGATTACTTTGAAGATTTATCTATATATAAGTTTGCAGGTATTTGAGGATTTCGAATGAAATACCGTTATTTTTTACCGCTAATTATATTAACGTGACTGTACTCTAATTTATGTAAATTAACAACAACAATAGAAAATCTCAATATGACAAATCAAATGATAAAACATCAACAGCCCTCACCAATGAAGATGGCTATGACTTTGGCCAACATTACACATGGAGACTAATGACATCATGATTGTTAACTACTTTCTCCTTTTTTTCTTCCTTCAACTAATACATGTAACCTAGCTAAGCTGCGGTGTTGGTTGGATAATGATTGTTGTTACGAGGTCCAACTCATAAGGAAATTTAATTCCATGACTGCCTGAATTTAGCAACCAACACAATCATTAAACACTTTGTTCTTCCGTAATTAATTAGTGTACTTGACAACTAATTAATCTCCAAAATCGATCTCAAAGTTTTGTTTAATTATATTAGATCAGACACACGTACATGTGGGGCGACAAGCCTAAGGAATCCTTCCACACGTTTCTCCCTGACCACAAACAGGAGCACCCCGGGTTTGACAGGATCGATTATATTCAAGAACCCCAGTTCCAGATCATCATTATATTATGAGTTTAACAAAATATTTACGCAATAATCAGTGCAGTTTAGAAGGATTATTTAGAAGCTAAGTACGCTATTTTTTGTAGGTGATTTTAGTAATGTCTTTAAATTTATTATATATATATATATATAGGTTCAGGTTCCTGTACAGACAGTGCTTCCCATGTGACCGTGCTGTGACACATCATTATGTGTTAAAAAATGCACCATTAAGTGGTACATTTGTGCATTTTATTATGGTGCATTCATGCATACATAATGGTGTAATTCGTACTGACCGCACGGGAAGCCTTGTCCTCCTTTGAACAAGTATATATATATATATATATATATATATATATATATATATATATATATATATATATATATATATATATATATATATATATATATATAGAATTATAATGAATTTAGGATGTTAATTTATTTTAAAATGAATTTATACGTATTTCGAAATATGAAAAATTGGGATGTGATATAATTTTCTTAAAATGTCAGGTAGCTTGTACCTCAGTGACATTTTTGTGGCACGTAAAAAAAAAATCTTTTTAGTGGCTTGATGTGAGGTTTCTCTAACATGTTTAATTTTAATTTGCAATAAATTGTATCATAAATTGATTATTATTATTTTTTTTGCTTGCAACATGTCATATCTCTACTACTTTGACCCGAGTTTAACTCTTAATTACTCGTGAGAAAGTTTGACTCATATCTCTTTATCATTCCATCAAACATGAGTTAATAATAAGATAAAATTATAGGAGTATATTTAGGACATGATTTAAGCAACACTTTTTTTGGTCAAATGGTAAGCACTTGAAGGTTTTTTCATGTGTGTTTTGTATGTGGTCAAGTTGACATTCTATTTTTTTTTAATATTTTATATTTTTTTAAAAAATAATAATAATGTTGTTTTCAAAAAAATAATAACAATAATGTTGTACAAAAATAATTTCTTCATTTTTCATCTAAATTACATTTCATCACCTCTTATCGATCTGCCTTAAATAAATGCAGATCTAAAGTAAATAAACACAAAATTAAAAATCGAAATATGTCCACAAGAAAGAAAGAAAAAAGAAGCAAATACCCCATGCAAATAAAAAGGTAAAAATAAAAATATTTATTAAAAAACAAAAAATATATAATATTTTCCTTTTTTTCATTAATCTTCGAAAATACTTTCTAAGTGTGGCCTCCATTCCGCGGCCTTACAGCTCCGGCGATCCCGGCGGGAAGACGACGACTTCTTTTCCGCCGCCGTAACAGAACGATCGCCGACGACGGCCGCCGTCGAAGTTGCGCGAGATTTCGCGGTTTTGGTGGACGCGTTCTTGTTAGTATCAGAGCTGATCTTCTTCCTCCGCTTCTTCTCCGGGACGGAGGGCGCCGGAATCAAGAAGTATATGCTGCCTCTCTTGAGCTCGGACTCCGGCGAGAGGATGAGAATCCGGCGAACCATGCCCTGGGAGCTGGGCTTACTGAGAACGTGATTAGGGTTGTTCTTGAGAACCTCGCCGGCGGTGATTGGGTGCGTTATCTCTTCTACGTGCCCGTTCAGGTGTACTATTCGGATCAAGTCTAGAGCTCCACAAGGAAGAATACAAGCCAAACAGCACCTTAGACTGTTGCCCATTTCTTATATATATGTATATATGTATGTATCACTCTCTCTCTCTCTCTCTCTCTCTGATCTTTGCTTGTGGTTTTCTCTTTTGAAGCTTTGAAGGAGTTGAATGGTTGGGGAAGACAATGGTATATATATATACAGAAGAAAAGCTAATATAAAAATTGCTTTAAACTGGAAAAAGAAAAAAAAAATTTAAATTTAAAAAGAAAACTAGGACTTTTTTGCTTGGGTGTTATATTTTATAAAATTTACAAACCACACCATTTATTCTAGGGATATTTGACCTGAACCCTATTGGTTGATTTTTTAATTGCTTTTGCTATTTAATTATTAAGATTGTAATAATTGGGAGAATGACACTAGTTGCTTGTAGACTTTTTACTTTATTTTCAACTCTGACCAATAAAATAGAAATTTAAGACAACTCATTTTGTGTCATCTAAAAGGTTACCAACGATAAATAGTAGTGGTGATTGATACTTATTGAGAACCTTTGAGGAAGGATTGGGTGTACTGCACTCCTCAACATATACATAGAGAGGATGATAGATACACGAATTGGATGACATCTAAGCTCACGATTCAACAAATTGAAATATGATTTTATTGTTGTTATTATTGTTTTTTTTTTTTTTTTTTTAGTTTGTGCTAGAGGGAACCAGATTGATCGTGTAGTAAATAAATATGCCACGATGATATGAACTATATGGTAAATGAATTCAAGTGCCAAAAGTCCAAATATTAGTTTTTTTTTTTTGTTTGTTATTTTCGTCTATAAGATGTAAGGATTAATTTAATTAATAAGGAAAGGAGTGTATACTCAAAAACTATATAACAACTTTAGTATTACACATGATTCATTGTGAGTTTCTCTTATATATCATTCAAAAAAAATATTGAGTGCGTTTGAAACAATATATTACGGTTATGTTTATTACTTCTAAAATGAACCCATTTGGGTGAATTGGGGTTGGATTAATTGGAAATATCCACTCTTCCAATTGCAAAAATTTCATCTCAAAGGGTAAAGTTTCAATATGAGTAGAGGATAGTTACATTGTTCTAATATCACTATCATCGTCCTGATTTTTCCAATCTCATCGCCACACTCCTGAATCATGCTAAAAAATCAATTAAATAAAAAAGAAAGCTCAAACCAATCAAGAGTCTAATCTAATCTCTTGCTACACTACTAACCAAACAACTCCATTAAATTCAGACTATAAAACATCTCGCCTTAACTTATACATTACATTTTTATTTATTAACTATCAAACCAAACTATAGGCTCGCTGCGCTCATAATTTAATAATTAACAAATTACCATGCATTGCGTCATACAATTTTCTCATCTTATAAAAAGTATGAATATTTATTGCGATTGAAATGATATTTCCTTCTCTCTCACACACTAGCTTACTTCTTGATCCAAGAAAGAGAGAGAGAAGTAGTTTATTGTTTGTGTTGTAGTGTGGATCTCACAACATGGAAGGTCGTCACGATATGGGAGGCATAATAGCGGCGATGACAGCCCAACTTACTGTCCCCTTTCCCAACTAAAATACTTCCCTCCACCCGTATTTCAACATTAGGTACGGACAACAATATTACATTACCTTAAAAACTACACATATATTTATATAATGGTATTTGGTAAATAGCGGTTAAGTGATTAGATTAGTTGATTTGACTAGTTGATAGCATTAATTGATTGTAAAAAAATGTTTGATAAATTAGTTGTTAGTTGATTACATGTAAAATGATTTTCTAAAAAAACTGATTCAAAAAACTACTTTGAGTAACTTTTTTGAATTTTAGTATTTTGGAGCAGGTTGTTACAAAAAAAAAAATAATAATAATAATTAATCAAACACTTATATTGTAAGTTGTAACCAAATCAAACAGTTAATAGTTGTCAAATAAATCAAAATTAACTAATAAGTTAACTATGTTACCAAACAGGCGGTTGGCTTAATTAGTACAACCAAAAAAGATACGGAGTAATATTCTTTTTATAATTAATGTTCCTTCTTTTTTAGAATTTTACCAAAACGATGAATTAATATATGTATATCTACTTATAAAATAATGATATAGTCTTCCTCTAGTCAGTTACCTTCATGTACCTACCCTCAGTAACTAGCTGGCTTCATGTAACTTGATGTGAGTATATATAGAGCGTATTTTTTTTTTTTTACAAATGTCAGTATAATATCATCCTAAATTTTGTTAAAGTATTTTTTTTTATTCATATAAACATCAAAAGTTTATTTAACATTTAAACAATTAGAGTAACGAATATTTTAACATATTATAAAAATATATTATGAAATGTGAATACCATTTACATTTCTATTGAAGTTGTGTTTATTTATGATTATTAAGCAGTGGTACTAATAAAGTTTTTTTTTCAAATAAAATGAAATTAATTCATTGGCAACTGTAAGGTAAGATATTTGACTCTTTTAAAGAGTGTATGTCATGTTAAAGTTTCAAGTCAAACTTTTTTCTTAAATAAGAGTCCAATTTTATGAGCGTGATTAAAACCAAACTTAGATTAGTTTTGTAGTAATGAAAATATGAGATGACAAACATTAATTTGCAAACCATAAAGAGAGTTCAAAATATATCTTTATTTTAGAGTTAATTTCATTTTTGGTCCTAGATTTATAAGTGACAGTGCAATTCCCGTCATTTTTATCAGAACATCCTTATTTGGTCCTAGTATTATTGTGACATGACTATTTTTGTTCCTCCCGCCAACAAAATCGTTGAAATGTAGTTAAATACAAGGATATTTAGATCTTTCTTATACAAAGTAGATTGACCCAATATATTTTTTATGTTTATTTAAAAAAAAATCATAATTGAAAACCAAATTGCTCTTGTATTTAGCAACATTTAAATTGTTTTGTTAATAGAAGACAAAAAATAATCATGTTACAATAATACTGGGACGTAAAGTGAATGTCTTGATAAAAAAAAAAAAAAAAAAAAAAAAGACTAAAAGTAGACTGACACTTATAAATCTAGGATAAAAATAAAATTAAATCTTTATTTTATTTTATTTTGAAAACAAAATGGTGAATTATAGTGGTCTGTGGCAAAAGTGAAGATCCCAAATTGCACTAATTGCTACAATCCAAAAATATACAGCTGTGCTTGATCTATGAGATTTCTAATTTTGTTTTTTGTGTGCCAATAACTTGCAATAAAACATTGCATATGAACATAGTCCTTCCTTTATGCTTAAATAAACTTTTTTTTTAAACCCATTCTTTAAAAAAATCACAATAACCGAAGTATTCCCATCCCAATAATAAATATTTATTTAATTAAAACTTATTTTAAATAAAAAAAAATATGCATATTCAAGCAGCTGGCCATTGATACAATCATGAAAAAATGGGCCAATTTCATCCCTCTAGAAAGTACTAAAATGGAGAGAGACGTCCATTTTAATTATTGATAACGAATATAATTTGAGTCTATTAGCGATTGTATAGTCACTTATGTTCGTAGAGATAACAATTGCCTTGCTTATTCCCTAGTTTGATAAGGCCGAAGGGACTAGGGTATGCCTTACTTTGTAGATTGATGTTCCTCTTGTCTTCTTAGTCTCTGTGCTTAATTGATTAATGAATTGTTGTTTTCTTAGCTTGCTTAAAAATGTTAAATTGATAGTTAGATACTTGGATTATTGCAAAATTATTAGTTATATGTATTATGCTTAGCATGCTCGAGGCTGGAATACTTTTTGATGGGCCAAGCAACATGTAACACATGTTTCGTGACTTTTTATACGAATTTAACTTGATACAAAATTGAATAGCGTGTTCTATAAGAAATAATAGAATAAAACGTAATTCTAGGAATAAACATATTTCATTATTTGTTTTGACCATTTTTTCTTGAGAATAACATTCCTAGGAATGAGCTATTCCCATTACGGGATGAATAGCCATTCTTAGGGTGCCTTATTAGTATTAGCTATTCCCATGCTCTTGAGAATAGTTTTTGCATTACAATACTAAAAATACTCTTTACATGCATGCTTTATATATATATATATATATATATATATATATATATATATATATATATATATATATATATATATATATGTGTGTGTGTGTGTGTGTGTGTGTGTGTGTGTGTGTGTGTGTGTGTGTGTGTGTGTGTGTGTGTGTGTGTTACTACGATTTTTTTGAGTGACGAGGAAAATCTGCAACAATTATACAAAGGTGTGTACAAAATAAATTTCATTTTTGTGTAATATATCGCAAATTACATATGCGAGATAAATTGCAATAGAAATGTACTGTTACGAATTCAATGGAGAGAGTGTTGGGAAAAACCCAACTTGTGATTTATATTATTAAAAATAAATGTGTTGCATGATTGTAAAGACACTACTAAGACAGTAAGACAGTGTGGTTCGTTATCTTGATCAAAATTGTAAGTGGAAACAAAAGTAATGGCGTCTCCATTTTCTACGACCAATAAGTTTCGACAATTTGACATTATTGGTCTTAAACTTAGGAGGAACGGTAATGATGCTCCTCTTTCCTACAACATAGAGTAGTTATTCTGGGTGAAGGCTGCATTAATGTCTGTTAAACAACCAAACTACTTTAGAACCTTCTAATTACATTTTTTTCATTTTATTACGGAGTATATAATATATACTTTTTGTTGGTCTTTCTCTTATGTTTTAATTTATTAAAATATATTATCAACTTCCCTTTTTTCGGACTCTAAAAATATGAATAAATGTAGAAGTGAAACCTAATTAATTAAGACCTCTATACATTGAATGGAAGTTTGAACTTTTTGAGTAATATTACGTTTATTCTATTTTTTAATACCAATTTTATTCCATGTTAATATGACACACATTAATTAAAAAAAAAAAAAAAAAAAAAAGGTTTGTTAGTTACATTCAAACTTTAAGGTCATCAATTCTCCTACTCTGAAGACGGAAAAGAGGTAAATTGTGAGATGTGTCTCAAGTGGTTTACATGCCTCCAAATATTTGTACACTAGTGCTCATTACAAGATCCAATTTTTTTGATTCATAATTTTAATAAATTGAAATCCAAATATTAGGTTCTAGATCTGAATCATAACCGGAAA